TAAATTCCAAACATGGGCATCTGTGTGTAATTTAAAATGACCCTCTATTTGTATAATTTAATCTGTGTGTAATTTAAATATAGTATTTCTTTGGTTGATCATAAAATGGGCATTTTCAGTTTGGAATACAGAGGAATGTAAGAGAATGATATATGTAATTAAGTTTGTTTTCTTTGGCATTGATGAATGTCTATGCATAAATGCTCAGTATTAAGTTTGTTTTCTTTGGCATTAATGAATGTCTATGCATAAATGCTCAGTATAGTTTCTTCCATACTATTCCTTTAGATAACAGTATGTAACAGAATGATATAGTTTTTTCCATACTCACAATGATATATGAAATACACATCTTGCCCTTTAGATACTCAGAATGTTTTTCAATTGTCAGTTTCCTTCCAAGATTTTAACTCTCTCTGCTACCTCTTCCATAAGAAAAAAACCTCCCTTGTATCCTGTACTATCCATTCTTCATTAGGTTCTTCTCAATAAGATTAGTTTCATACACAGCTTTTGCTTAGCCCACTGAAGAAACATCCTGCACTGTCATCTACTCTGGTAACTTCAGATACTCATTCAAGAATCACACTAGGGAGATTTCTCCTATGCTTTTGTTTTACATGAAATGCATGTTTGATTGCACTATAGCAATATTGTTGCTTAGTCAGGTAAGTTGTATGAAGATTGGCTGAGTGCTTCCCTTAGTTCTTATGGGTGTGTTAAAATACCATTAAATTTGCTGCAAAACAGTAATGCACATTTTCAACAAGTACTAATATAGTTGCTCTCACAATTTCCCCTTTGTTTTCAATTTTATTGCTGCTTAAATTTCCCAAGGATTTTGAGTCCATAAACTGTTGGAAGGGCATTCTTTCTTGTAAATGCTTATTGCTTTATGTATAAATAATTGAAGAAGTTTTTTATTCTTTATTCTTTTTTCTTTTTTCAATTTTCTTTTCCATTCCCCCCTCTCTACAAACCCAATATCCTAAGTATTGTTCCACACCCAAACATAAAATGAAATTAAAGATGAAAACAAGTAAAGGTAATGGACAGATTAAACATTGCAAAAGCCTATTGCTTGCTACACTAACAAAGGTAGATTGATAGTTACAAAATTACACTTAGGAAGAATAATTGTCAGAAGCACAAATCCTGAAGAGAACGTCATCTTCTACTAATTGGTAGTTCAATCTGTTGGTATTTTTTATGCAGATAAACAAATGGCTTCATCTTCCACTAATAATACGAACTTAAGATTAAAGCCAAGGTTTTGTAATTGTGGAAGAACAGCTTCCGTGCGTATTGTACGAACCAATGCAAATGGAAATAAAGGACATGTCTATTTTGTTTGCCCAAGAAAATATGTAAATACCTGTTATATAAATGAATCTGTTACTTTTTACAAATTTCATTTGTCCTTTATTGATTAACTGATTCTTGTCCATTGTAAGCTACGAACGACCACTGCAATTACTTCAGGTGGTTCGCAGACGACGACGACGACGACGACGACGACGACGACGACATTACCGCATCAACTTCAACCCATGCTGGACCTCGGACAGATTCAACAACAGAAGAAATTAATGATCTGAGGAGAAGGGTTGGTGAGCATGATAGAAGGCTTCAAAAGATGGAGAAGATGTTCAAGGCAAAGACTTATGTCATTGTATTTTGTGTATTTTTGTACTTTATCATGTAAATGACTCAGTTGTTAGGTTTTCGAAGATGCTATGAATGTAATCTACTTTTCTACTTGTTTTGTAATTTTTTTTTTTGGTGCTTAAAAATGTGATGGCTTGCAAAAACAAGTGTATAACCGGTTTGTTTGAGATGAAATGTGTTGAATGAACAGTTTGTGAAATCTATTGAGTTATGTTGGTTGCTTAACAGTGTGTATTATATGTGATGGTTTGAAAAAAACAGGTACATTGATTAACAGTGTGTTGAATGAACAGGTACTTAACAGTGTATTTTTTTGGACAATGGTTGAACATGTTGAATGGTTGAACATGTTGAATTGAAATGTGTTCAATGAACAGGTTGAAGGAAATTAGTTATTTCTGTGTACATCACTACACTAAAATTCTGATTGGTACATATGCAATTGTTGCATGTTTGCACAGTTTATAGGTCAAAATGTTGAATAAATTAAAAGGTGCTTTGGTTTGTGATTGAAAACTCTTCAAACAGGATTGAAAGTGTATCTGAAGTTAGAATGGTTCACTCTGCTTCTGGTTTGTGATTGAAACAGGATTCAAACAGGTTTGTGATTGAAAACTCTTCAAACAGGATTCACTCTACTTCTGGTTTTTTTCCATCTATTAGAATGGTTCTTGAAAGTGTAGGTTCTATAAGATGGTGCTGTTGTAGTAATGCTCATGGTTAGTAATGATAGTAGGAATATCAGGTTTGCCTACAAAGATCAAGATGAGTTTTGTTGATTAAGTTTGTGGTAATAAGTTTCCACACCCAAGGTATGCTACTGTTGTGCCCTTACACCAGCAGCTGCAGTTGATGCATGCTGCCATAGGGCATATCATTTTTCACCCAACCACACCCAACATACTGCACCCAAGGAATGCTGCCATAGAATGCCACTAAAAGAAAAACCAACAACAGGTCAGTGTGCTATTCCACACTTACACATTATCTTGTGCCCAAGACAGGTACTTCACAATTTGCATGAGGCAACAGTAAGCGGAGTGAATTCATTATTCCACCTTTCCTAGAATGCTGCCACCAGGAACAACCTTACACCAGTGGCTGTTGAATCCATCCTGTTTGTATGCTTCATATATATGCATAACTAAGATATATGCATAACAAAAATGAAGCTGGTACTGTGTTTGTTTTCTTCAATGACACCAGATTCAATAAGATTCTCTTCAATGACAGCTGAAAGCTATACTTCGCTTACAATTTTCAGATAGAACTTTTATGCAATAAATAGTTGCTAATGAGAAATATATCAACAGATTACATATGTTGCTGCTCAACACAGGTTCTCTGTCCATCCAGAAGCTAATATCTATGTTTATCAATTTATCACATGCTAAAAGCCAAACACAGTACCAGCATCTTTATCTTAGTTATGCATATATATGAAGCTCATTCGCCTAATTCCTAATTTCTAACACAGTACGAGCATCCTTATCTTAGTTATGTATGAAGCTCATTCTCCAAAGTTTCAGCAACATTTGAACAGAAATTTCAACAAAAATGAAGCAAAAACTAATCAAAAGTTCATCAACATTTGAACAGAAATTTTAGCAAAAATTTAAGCAACAATTGAAACCAAATTTCAGCAACATTTTAGGGATGGTATCAGTAATTTTTTAGCAACAGTTTGATGAAAGGTTTTGAATATTACATATCCAACAAAATGCCCTTCACAAAAATTCCGAAAACAAAATAACGCTAAGATGTTCGCTTGTGATTGACATCCCCATGCCCACGGCCACAACCACGACCACGACCATATAGTACCTACAAAAAACAAGATATTAATATTACATCAAAGGAACCATAAAATAAAATGGAACTTTAAATGAATTAATGACAAAATCAAAAAGGAAAGGTGAAAACTAAATTACTTCACTACATGCGGGACTATTTGAAGCTTGGGAGTGATAACTACTTGCATTGTTAAGCAATGCTTGATAGGTTCCATGGACGGAATACATCGATGGCATTGAAAAATGCATATTGTGATGAAGAAAACTTGGCTGCAACAATAACAAACACATATCAATCTAAAATGATAATAGTCAATTACAAATCCGTACTAAAACTTTTTATTAAACTAACTTACATCATAGGCGGGATACATAAATTGAGACGAAGAAGCTCTAACTTGAGGAACACTTGGCGAGAATGGAGGAAGTTGAGGAACACTTGAAAATAAAGGAGCCTACTGAGGAATTAAGGGAGGTGCTTCAGGAGCACTTACCGAAAATAAGGGAGGAGTTTGAGGAGTAACAGACATGGAAGTTTGAGAAGCATTATGTGAACTTGTTTTATTTTTCTTTGCCAACGCAAGCTCCAAACCAACTTTTGTCCGCCTTCGTCCCTTACTAGTGCACTCTCTTCTCTTGAGTCCTTTTGCTCGAACTACATTTTTTTCCGCTACACCATCCACTTCAAAGCTTTGGGGGCATGTATCTGGGGGGCTTTCTTGTTGAATTGTATCTGAACAAGGCATATTGAATTTTGCGCTTAACACGGTTTCAATGTTCGCGATTAATTCATCCGCTTTCTCTACCGTCAAATTATATGTTTCCTCACTTTCAAAAGCTCTACACGCTACTGCTCTGAATATTGCCATCAATGACCTATAGCGTGAAGTTTGATGCAATCTTACATCAACCTGAATATCATGCCCACACCTATCTTTCACATTTCAGATCTTGCTTTTTTAGTCCATCTCTTCAGAATATATTGTGAAGGAATCTCTTTGAATTTGAGTCTTTCTCTAAGGATCTTCAAACAATGACTACACAAAATGCCCTTCATTTCAAACTTCCTACAATTGCAAGTGACTGAATCATCACACTCCTGCCTCACCTTTATACCATCACTATCAAGAACCGTATAAACAATACTGTCACCATCATTTTCAATTTCTTCAATGTTTACTTCAAGGGACTTGACATACTCATCCTGAAATTCTTCAAAAATTTTATTTGTGTAAACATCTGCGGCTTGCTCCGTAATCTTCACTTTAATGTTCACCCTTGACAACTTTTGGCATAGAGCATATTCGGCTTGTAACTCTTTGTACCTCTTCTCAGAAAGAACTCGATCAAAATGCATGAAAAATTGTATTAAGTTATGATCAGACTGAATGAGATCCTTCAAGAAAGCATTAAAGGATTCACTAAGTTGGGTGCTACTCATGCCCGTACCCCATGCATTTCTAACATATGGCCAACCCCATTTTTCCTTGACCCCAAATGTTAACTTCAACCAATGATTATCTCTTACTTCATAATGTCTTGACATTTGGGAAATACTTGCTCAAAGCCCACACTGTTCTATAGTTTGCACCGGGGGTATCTAAAGTTATTGCTGCTGCACATGCTCTTTCAGCACCAACTTTATGGAGCACCTCATGGCCAGGAATACAAGTAGCATGTCAGACAATGAACCTGCACAAAGCATATTTAAGTTTGAGCAGGATCATCTATCCCTCTCGACTACCAGCATCACCAAAATACACAGGAAGATCAAGTGCACAGCCAACTACTACTCAGTCACTGAAATGATGGAAAATCTAAAATCAGTTATCTGGATACTGTTGTAAAATATTCTCATAACCATTTAACACATTCTCAGTAAGTCATGGGCACGGTACCTTTTCTTTTTTGCCAATTTGCATTTATGTTAAAATGTTCACAGAGATTCAGGGAATATAAGTAAATATAGGAAAATATGGAACCAAAGGCTGGATAATCTTGGATATTCACTTCATAGACTTGAAATCCCCATGTTGTCCTTGGCAAGTAATACTAGATTTTATCATAAAAAATGGACGTCATAAAAAGACAAAGAAGGTATACCCCCAGAACAGAACTACATGAAATAGTCATCAAACTGGCATAGATTACCCAAAAGGAACTAGAAAACTCACACAGCCCACACTCATATGACTAAGATTTTCAGCAGAATATTCAATCAGCAATCCCTTCTCTCTCTCAGCCCCAAAATTGACTTTATTCCAGGAATATCAATTCATTGTGATGGAAGCATACCTCCTCACATCAAGAGCAACAAATGGAATAAGTCGTTCTGAAAGAAGCTGCGCAATGATCTGAAAGAACAACAGAAGGAAAAACTACTCTTAGACAAAACATGATACATACATCCATACATGAACTACATTATTTTTTGGGGTACGAATCTATAAATAAACTACATTAAAAATAGATCCACCACAACAAACGATTTAAAACAAATTCATCAAAAAAAAAATGCAAATAGTGACAATACCTGGCCAACACGTCCAAATCCACAGATAATGATATGGTCCTGCAAATCATCTGTCTGGAAACAAGCCAAAGGAAATCAACGATCAATACATTCAGTGAATATTTCGGTGTAATAGCAACCTAAATCCTATATCAAAAACAGACAATTCATCCCATGGTCAGATGTATGGCTGCACCAGACATTAAAAACGATTTAAAATTATTGAATAAAAATTTAGTAGATCCTAGGTACAGTTAGACATACTATATTCAGGAGTTTGAATAGATTTAATAACGGATCATATCTTATACAAATATTGCAAGACCAAACTTAGTTTAGTGCGCAGACTTTATGGCAGCCAGTGGTTCTTCACCACCTTCATCCATCATCATCAAATATTTTTGCATGAACTCAAAATGGCAAGACTTCGAGAAGTAATATAAACACAAAATACCAAATGCAAGCGAGTAAGTGTTTACCAAAAATTTCTCAAATGCATAAGCGCAGTGAGTTTATTGAAACCTAAGATCAAAACAAAATTCATACACATACATGGTTCAACATTAAAAAAGGCTTCATGATGTTGACAAAGAGACTTTTGAGAGCACATCATAAATATTTCCCCACATTCTAGTGCAATAACTAATAAAAATTCTTATAATACTTTTTTCTTTTCTTTTTTCTTTTTTCTTGGGTACAAAAATAGATATGCAGATAGGCTACTCCAACATATCCGCCAGGGAGTATTGCCCTTAGCACCTCCATAATATCTGCAGGGAACTCCATTGCACTTACGTTGGGGCTGAAGCTTAGGCCCCCCGCGTGCTCCAGCACTAAAGAGTATGTTTAGTCCGAACAAGGGACTATGGAGACTCGAACCCCAGCCTTGAGTGAGAGATTCGAAGCTCTTATCTACTGAACCAACCCCTTGTTAGTCATACAACAAAAAAAATAAATAAAATAAAAATAAAAATTTTTTTTTTCTTTTTGATTTGCGCCTCCCATGATATAGTTAGAATGATCACTAGAAAATCTATGCTCCATTTGAAAAGCTAAGCTACCTAGTAAGCCAATCCTGATTGACAAATCATATCCATAACTAACATAGTACCAATGAACTACAAATTATTATCTAGTGGAAATAAATAAATGAATTGAATTCTGTAAACCACCAATATAAATGCTTACTCAAATATCATCAAACTTGAAATTATGAATTCTACCTCACTCTCTAGAGGCTATGAAGCATGGACACTCCAAAATCGGTGCCGTGGCGGTGTCTGACACGCAGACACGCCAGGGACACGAGGACACATACGGGACACACCATTTGGCGTGTCCCTTTAATTCAATGAATTTTTTTGTAGGGGACATGGCGGGGACACGCATGTCCATATCAAGACATGGCATGGGACACAATGGAGCTGAATTTTAATTTTGTTATATTTATTTGGGGTCCAAGTGTAATATTTAAAAAGTAAAAATAAATTAATTAATTAATTAAAACGAAATCAACTTGCCCTAATATAGTCTATCAGTGTTGCTGAATTGAAGAGTAATCAATCAATTGAAGAGTATCATCAGTGCCCTAAACCAGTCGATCCAGTCGAAGCTTCATCTAGTCGAAGATCGAAGACCTCCAGTCGAAGCTTCATCCAGTCGAAGATCGAAGCTCCATCAATCGATCGAATAGTCGAAGACCCTAGACGACTTCGAAGGTAAACCTCTCTCTCTCTCCTTGTCGAAGCTGAACGATGCTGAAGACTTTTTTTTAAAAAAAATTAGATTTATATATATATACAGACTGTTTTCAACCTTCAAAGACTATTTTTTTTTTTTATAAAAAAAATTATAGGTTTATATATATATATATACAGACTCTTTTCAAATTGAAGAGTGTTTATAGGTTTATATATATATATATATATATAATTTGAACTATAGGAAAAATATATAATACATATTATAAGATGATATATACTTATACATATTAATTAAAAAAAATAAAATAAACACATATAGGTAAAATAAAATAAAATAAATTAATTAGAACACATTATTTAAAAAATATAATAATAAATAAAATAATTAATGTGTGTTAAAATAAAAAAAATTTATAAAAAAATTAAAAAATTTGTCGTGTCCCCATTTTTCAGAAATTGCCGTGTCCCGTGTCCGTGTCCGTACTTGTGCTTCATAGTCTACAGGTAACAAACTCCACACATCATGCAGCTCAAAATGAGAGGCTAGTAACTGGCCTCCAGCAGCTAACCATGGGGTGAGGGCAATTGATACCCCTACTGTCACGACCCCAAACCGCCCCTAGTAGTTTGGTGCCGTGATGGCCAGTAATCCGGGATTACCGAAGGCCAACTTACAAAATTCACACACAATCAGAGTATAGACATAGGGGGCTCACAAGCGCGGAAGCAATAATCTAAAATACAAGTGGTCCACAAGAGCGGTGCATAAGTCAAATGAAATGGAATACATCTTTACATAGCTTTACAACTTGAATACATATAGAAATGACGTACAAAAATACATATTACATCTTAACAAAAGGGCTTCTCAAGCCGACATGTTCAAATACAAAAGCTTCAAGATTGCCGACATCCTCACTGCCGACATAACATGCATACAAACACACATCTCGGCGTAGCCGACTTCTTGGTTGTTACCTACATATGTACATGGGGAGGGTGAGCTTGGATACTCAGTGAATGGTATAAGTAATAAAGGGGTTAAATGAATGATTCCCGAGGTCTTTCAAAACATTACATAATATATCTTTGACAAAACCATACTTAAAATAACTTGTACAAAACATGAGATAAATCTTGTTCATCAAACTTGATCTTACAAAACTTACATACTTAACATGCGTCAAATCTTATATCATAACCTCGGCATAACCTTGGTCCCTCAAAGCTTACTTACTTACTTACAAAACCCACGCGGTAAACCGCCAGTGGCAAAACAAGACCAAGCAAGAGCCTATAGCCCTTTAACACTTGGGTGCTGCTCAAGTTTAGAGTCCTCCAGCACAAGGAACCTATGTTACAAGAGCCCGTAGCCCTTTAACACTTGGGTGCATACCTAACATACGTCAAATCTTAAAACATAACTTCGGCATCGAGCACACCCGTTCATAGTCCGTAGGTGGCCGATATCTTAACAAGGGTGCTACTTAGGCTTAACGTCCCCTAGCACGAAAGGACGGTGCTACCTAGGCTTAAAGTCCCCTAGCATGGAAGGACTATGTTACTTAGGCTTAATGTCTCCTAACACGAAAGGATGGTGCTACCAAGGCTTAAAGTCCCCTAGCACAGAAGGACTATGCTACATAAGCTTAAAGTCCCCTAGCACGGAAGGACTTGTGCCACAAATGCTTAAAGCCCCCTGTCACGTACGGACTAGTGCCACAAATGGTTAAAGTCCCCTGGCACGTACGGACTATGTTACCTAGGCTTAACGTCCCCTAACACGAAAGGACGGTGTTACTTAGGCTTAACGTTCCCTAACACGAAAGGACGGTGCTACATAAGCTTAACGTCCCCTGTTCTTGGGACGTCGGGGTCAAGGCAAAGGTCCAAGTCCTACGAACACATGGCAAAGCATACTGAACATACTTCTCACAACAAGTCTTACATACATGCGAATGATCTCGGAAAATATACTGGAAGTCAAAACACCGTTTTACATGTCAGGAAGACATGCTGGGTACCAACCAGGTCTTTGCCGAGGTCCCACACCTCCTGGTCGAGGTGTGGCTACCTGGGCTTCGACGTGTGGCTGCATGCCGAGGTGTACACAAAACAAACCGAAGGTGTAAGTGATCATGCAAGGTAGGCCAAGGAGAGATACGATGCTTGGCCTAAGTGTAAGGTCTAGGTGAGAGTGATCTCGGCGACTACACTTCGGGAAGTGAGGTCTGGAGATCTGGGTTTCCACCCGTGAAGAACAGGAAGAACATGAACATGGAGATCATGAAGAACATGGATGCTAAAATCTAACTTCTTTATTACAAAAATCTGAGATTTCATGCTATGGGTTCGAAAACATGGACCTAGGTACCCATACTTGAAAATCATGCGAAAACAAACACAAAAACATGGATCTAGGCATGAGCCTTCGGATCAAAACATGACTTTTCTTGAAGAACACATGAATGCCATTTTCTCTTTCTAAAACCGAACTTCAAAGCAATGCATGGCTTACAAATCATATTCAATCATGCAATGCAATAACATAAACATAAAGAACAACAAGAGCAGATCAAGAATCTAACCTTAGAACACGGATCTAACGGTTCGATCTCTAGGAATCAAGCTTAGAAATCTACTCTTCCTCAAGAACTCTTCTCCCTCTTCTAGAGCTTCTCTCTCCTCTTCAAAACAAGTATAGGAACAAATGATGGGTTTCTCTCTCTGCCGGCTGACTTAACTCTCAGCTCGGACATGTGACAACGGCTGGTTGGTTCTCTTCAAAAAGGTGATAGGTTGACAAGACAACACTATGACAAAGCGTATCTAACAAGCTACTCGGTATGGCACTTCGGCAAGTGGTGACATCGGCTAAGGACAAAGCTTCGGCAACTAAGGTGACAATGACCTCGGCTAGGAAGGACGACACTTGACCAAGCTGTGCCACACCTTGGCCTAGATGCGCCACACCTCGGTCTAGGTCATACCACTCCAGGACAAGATCACTAAGGTGCAAAGGTAACATCTCGGCCTAGATAATACACATCTTGGCCTTGGTGATGAACACCTCGGCCTAGATAGTGACATCTCGGCCAATATGTCAAGGCGAAGGTGGAGGTCAAACAAAGTGGTTCCAAGACAATTCTAGACTGAAGATGACCTCGGCTAGGAATGATCTAGGCTTAACATAACTTAGGCTTGAGGCACCAAGGAAGGGACAGAGCATGCACACAACACTTAGACAAATCACGCAAAACACAAAGCAAGACAAGATTCATGGATGCAAACTTAGCAAGACAAAGTTGTGTAAATGAACTTGAACATGACTACAACAGGATTATGGGTTGCTACAGCAATCTTAACATGGCAGAGCATATAAATGCATGCAACATGACTAGGACAAAAATGTGGATTGTTACACCTACCACAAGAAACAGCAAAGACGACATCTGACAAGACATTATACCCTGCAAAAAAGGCCAATTAGCAAACAATTAGTTGTGCTAGCAATACTAATGGCAATAGTTACCATTTATATTGCTTTGTTTTATTTATCTAGTGTGGGAATACCAGTCCTACACAGTTTATTTATCTACTGTTATGTATTGAAGTTCACAAAAACATATATATGTGTGTGTGTGTGTTGAAAAATAGGAATAAAAAGGGGGAAAAAAAAGACCTAAAATAATAAAGGGATAGGATGAATTTCAGTCAATAATACTGGCTTCCATTCAATGCACCACCACAGATTTGCTTAGACTCCCATTCACAAAATCAAACTCTCAACACCAATCCAGTCCTATGATCCTTTAAACATAAAATAACCTAAGGTTCACCCAATCTTGGTGGCCTATGTAACTTTGTCTAAATAAAGCCCACATCATTTTCAGACCTTGCAATGCTAAACTGACCTAAATTTAGTACTATATCACTTTCATATACTTTTGAGCAAGTATTAAGTACTTATGCTGGTGCATTCTACTAATCAAAGACAAATGATATGGCATATCATCAGTGCATAATGGATAACTCGGATATGGGTGTAAGGTGCAGGTATGTGTCTAGGTGTTGGATTAATCTAATTCTCATGTCCAAGGACACCACAACATCACTAGATTTCATATTTCTTAAACATTTGTTTGTTTTGAATTTTTTTAGTATAGAATGGTATTTGCAACCAAAAATTGTTATGAATGAAATGAAGGTCTAATGCATAGTGATATAGTAAACTCAAACCATTTAGACATCCTTGTTTGGTGCATGTCCAACTATACATGTTGGATGCATTTCTCATATGGAACCCTTACCCTTACACACGTGGCATGTCTATGTATCAAACACATCATATGGCTTGTCAAATTATTAATTATTATTTTTTGCAAGACATGTTGAGAATACTTCACGGACACACGTCCTACGTCTAGACAAGTCTCTTAGAAAACTGATTTGGGGTCAAAGTAAATATATGGAAATCGATGCTTCTCATATCTCTGTGCCCTAACTTAATATTCATATACATAGCAGATAAAAATATATATAAAATAAATAAATAATTTGTATCCCCCATGTTCATATCTTAATTTTTTTGAAAATTCCATGTCCCATGTCTGTACTCGTGTCCAGGTCTCTTAGGCTGCCACTATGAAACCTAAAAGGATAAGCGAAAGCATTTCACTTTCACACTCAAAGATGGTAGGAGACTATCTAGAATGATTTGCAATAATAATAATAATAATAATAATGTGTCACAAACTCAATTGAGATATCAAATCCATTCATACATTAACACCTTCTTAATAAGCCAACCAAATGGAAAACACAAATATAAATTTTTACTTTAAGCTCATATGACGAAAATCATCTCTTGGACTGTGTTTAGATCATGATTGGGTTTCAAATCTCCACCCAAATCCATGATCCAAATAGAGTCTTAGTCGATGCATAATACACATGAAATCATGTGCCTAAATTTTGGATTTTAAGTTTTAGGAGACCTAGAACCTCCAATTGTCCTATAAAATGAATTTTCCTTCAGTATCACTTAAGGTGAATATACAATTCACACACTTTTAGCTATGACATGTATGCACATATAGCACATTTAAACAAGTAATTTATGTCTCACCAACTATGAATCCTATTATATGGATCACAAACCCCAATGCATTTGTAACCAAATATGCACACACCTTTTAGCATTAATCCTATTATATGTGGATTCTCATGTTTCGCCTAGTTACAAACCAAATATTCATATTAAGTAATGCTCACTCACTGAAAATAAAATAAAGTCAAGTTTTTATTATGTGGGCCCACAGACATGCTTAATGCATAGCCAGGATATAGTAAATTAAACAAATAAACAAATAAATAAACAAACAAAAAAAGTAAGCTGTGTTTGGAATGATTTCAAACTGTAATTCTATCCAATATTTTCAAACCCGGACCGACCTGGTTGATCGGGACGGGCCTCGTTCCGGTCTCGGTCAACCCCAAACCAGGAGTGGGCCAAACTAGGAAAACGGTGACTCAGTGGTCGAACCGGCAAAACCGGTGACCCGGACCGGGTCGAGAGGGTCAGACCGTCTTTTTTTTTTAATTTCTTTCTTCTTTTTTCTTCATATATTATATATATATATATTTCAAAAGTTGACTAAAAATTCTTTATTTAGGAGTCTCCTCTCATAAGAAAAGTCTCATTGAAAGCTTGAGAAGAATTATGAAATTCTATTCCTATTTATAGGAAAAAAAATTTAAAGAAACTACAAAATTCTATGTGGTTTCAATTAAATTATTTGAAACATTTGATTGGAGGGAGAGTTGAAAATTTCATTTTCCTCCAAAATTAAATCTAGCAATTCAATCAATTTATTTGGAGGGAATGTTTAAAAAATTTAATTTCTTTAAATAGTGACTTTTTTTTTTATCAATTATGACTTTATTAATATTTATAAATACTATGCAACAATTTTTATTTTATTTTTATTTTATTTGATTATTATATATATTTTTATTTATTTATAATTATATATATATTTTTAATTATATAATATTAATTATGATGTCACGGTTCGACCGCTTTGTCCCGACGGTTGAAACGGTGACCCGTCCACCCGGTCCTTTCCGGTTCGCTCACCGTCCGGTTTTGAAAACATTGATTCTATCCACACATTCCAACTTCATGCTTGGATATGACTTTCAAACTGTATTTCCAAAACTCTACAGAAAACTTTGTCTCAAGCGCGATTTAAAAAAAAAAAAATCAAATTTGCCTAACCGGTCGTCCGCAGGATGTCCCACTAATCGTCGCGCGGTTGACTGAAATAGTGCAAATTTTTTTTTTTGGCACATGTAATTTTTATATATTCAAAAAAAATAGTTCCAAATTTTTTAAAAAATTGTGCGATTAATAGAATTTTGATTTGTGTGTTGAATATGAGTTGTAAGTTTTGTATAAAATATCATATGTCAAATCAAAATTCTCCACTCAATTCAAAACTCTTTCACAAACAAAATTTTTTACACTTAAATCATAATTCCAAAATTCACTAAACTCAAAATACAACTCCTACTCTCAAATCATATTTTAGAAAGCTCTACCAAACGAAGCTAAAGTTCGCTACATAAAACCATCAACTATAACAACGCTTAATTAGTAACATTAATATGTGTTTGGAGGACAAATCAGACAGAAAATTACAAGAAAATATTTAGTCATAGAGGAGAAACTGATTAACAGCTTCACCAAAGCACAAATGCGAACTCTCCACCCGGAGCAAGTAGAAGGCCAACTCTTATCGCAGATATGATTGAAATCCAAAAAGTTACACTACAGCAATATCCCCAACCAGTTCACCATTAAGCCTTGCAATACATATACAATACACACAGTATTAGAACCAATCTGAAGCAAAAAATAGCCACAATACTCTGAACCCATCACAGTCTGAAGAACAAAAGAAAGGATTCCACACATCACTGAAACTGCCTAAGAAAGTCCCAAGCATGCCACACAACCCTAATCACAGCCCAAAAAATAGCATCAAATACAACGAAACTAGTCTCATCCCTTCACAAATACGTGCTCCGCCACAACAGTCGACCCCCAATTTTGATTCCATCACGACAATTCACTCACGCAATGCCCAATTCACTTGCAAAAGAACTAATACAGTAACAAAATCACTGAAACACAACACAAAAATCCAGAAAATATTCGAATTGTCAATCAACATCAAGGCTTAGAATCTCAACCAGTTGGGCACCAAAATCACAAAAGAGGCAAAACTAATAAAGACGACGATTTAAGAGACGACTGTTGTGATGGCGAGGGTGATGAAGGAATAGAATAGGGATATGATGGCGGAGGCGAATTTGACAGGCTACCGTACAAGTCGTGGTAAGGATGTAGGTGATTGTGCTTATTGCGTGAGAGAGAATAGGGAGACAAGAGGATGAAGTGAGGGGGAGAGCTAGGGTGTGGAGAGAGTAATCAGAGATTTGGTTGGGTGGGAGGGGAGCATTCGGATTTGTTTGGGTTAGGATGAGAGAGTAGTTTGGAAAGTTGGGTAATGATGATAGAGAAGAGATGGGAAGAGAATTGTGAGGGCGAGGAGTGGCAAGAGTGGCTTGATGATTCATTTGATTCAAAGAGGACTCCCAAGAAGTTGTGGGTTGGGGCTAGGGTTCCATGGAGGTAGCTTTAGAGAGAGAAAGTTGAGAGAGAGACCAAGTCTAATGGTCAATCAAACGACTAGGTGTAAAATATTTGGGGGGTATTTTTGACTCTTTGGGTTAATTTGACAACATAGGTAAAAATTAAAAGTCAATTTTTATGTTATTTTGAACTAGCCTATACACCCGTGCTATACACGGATAATTATATAGAGTAATGCTAAGGACCCCACTGACTGGACCCCAGCACCCCCAGTGCCACATGGGCACACTGCCAGTGGCTAAAGTCTAAAAAAAAAAAAAAAGTTATTTTTTAGCCAATCAGCAAGGAACCCCAGCACTCCACTGGGGTCCAACGCATTTTTCCTAATTAATAGATATTTATATTTTTTTAGATTTTTTTAATATAAATTATGTTTTTTAGATTTTTTATAAAAATAATTTAATAATTTTATCACTAACCATAGTGTATAAGAGAAGTTGAAAGGGTTTGCAGTAATATACACAAATTGTATCTATAATTATTTGTATGAAGGATTTTAAATGTTGATCAGAGATTTTGACCAAATCAATTAAATGCAGGCATATGGAAAACATGTGGATTGAAAAAAATTAATAAATGCTAATCAGGGGATTTGACCAAATTAATAAATGCTGAGTTTTTTTTAATAAAAAATTAAAAATTCAGATTGGAATATTGAAGCCCACCATGCCTTAGGGTTAAAATCCCCTTTTGCTTAATATATAGTATAGATCAATCATCTTTTATATTTTATACTTTTTTTAAAAAAAATCAAAAATCAATTTTAACCATCTTCTCAAAACACCTTTGTTTCTTCGTCAAGTAATTTTAAAAATTGCACTGTAATATGAAGTTTTGGGGTTTAAATAGTGCAAATGAATATAAGGACCATCTCCAATGTTGCATCAGATTGAGTATCAAATTTAAATTTGATGAAAAAAGTCACTTTTTCTCTCTCTAATAGTTTCACCAAACTGATATCAAACTGAGAACGGAGCAAAAGTTTCATTAAATTGAGGATTCGCGTGAGATTTCACCATTTTACTGTTCAGTACGTTGGAGTGGGGCCCATCGTCACCGACGGACGTCCGATCTACTTCATTTGCTTCAATTTTGATTGGCCTGCGAACTGGTTTGAAATGTTACTGAAACAAAGGGATCTAACAAAGGAAATGTTGAT